TATCCCTACAAGAGCAGATGATACCAACGGAGAGTGAGGGGTTAATTGGAAATCTCCCTGCCTGTCCTGTCTTCCGGGTAAACAGTGGCAGACTGGTACCTGCTTCAGTCAGGGTCTTATTTTCCATTGATAAAGCATCCCTAAAGCCTCTTCAGCCTTCTACGACAGCCGACTGTCTAAGCGTGCTTTGGCAAGCTCCCGTGAAGCTGAATGAAGATGCAAGTCACACGTGCGAAGGTGGCACTGTCTTGTGACATTGCACTCGTGTAGTGTCCTTTGTTGAGTGCTCTGTCGAACCACTACAGTGTGTTAGATCCGGTTGTGTGGCCCCTGGGAAATATCTCTAGAACGCTTGTGAAAGAGACTGTGGGTCCTTACATTTCTTCGCATTTATTTTTCTTCTACTGCTTTTCTTTTGTGTATAGGGAATGACCTACACTTATAGTTAAACTAAACTCAGAGAGACTAGACTCCACTTTTTTCCCCAGGATAATCCACTCCGGTCCTCACTAGCAAAGTATTAGAGGGTTTAAAACCCCTCTTTCCATCTGTTCACATGATTTATAGGAGGGAAGGATTTACTCTTTTATACATAGCCAAGGACTTACTAAATAGGCGATGTTTCTGTGTTTACAAACTGGTCATCAGAACCCTTTCTTCTGATTACCTTTGACCAGGTATTCAACCTGACAACCATTTACCTATACTAACTCTAACTTCATTTTCACACAAACCAAGAACTTGGGTGTGTGTGTGTGTTTGCATGTGTGTGTGTGGTTTTAACTCCAGACAAACTAATGTTATCTACTCCGTTGATTTGTGAAAATAGTCGTCCTTAAATTTCCTGAAATATTTGATTCTCTGTTATGTATGTTATATTCACTGATACTTATTACAGAAGTTACTGTGCTCTCCTATATTTCTTTGCCCATTTCATGTGAAATATATCCTAACACACACTACCATCGTTTGTAATGCTTGTTTCCGAGCTAATTGTTTCAGCCTAATCATAAGAGCCCTGGCTGTGTCTCAGGCAGCACAATTGAACTGCAGAGTACTTACTGCTTTCCTGCTCTGTCTTCTCTTGTACATATATATGAAAAAAAAAAAGTAAAATCAGATGGCTTATCTTTAGACAAAGAAAGCCCTCAGCTCTGTGCTGTAGGAGAGACACATAGTAATGAGCTGCTCTATTTCCCTCACTCCTAGTAAGTTCTGTAATAATAAGCAGAAGTTCTTCAGAGTGTACACCTCACGGAAGCAGAGGTACCCAGCATCCCAGCTGTTGACATGAGATTTGAGAATGCCAACTAACCTCAGGTGCATGACCAGGTTACGCCACTACACCTGGGCCCTGTTTCCAGACTCACTCACCTAGGGACTTCTTGGATGAGGTTTTCAGCGCGCTTGTAATTTTCCTTGTTGCCTGTTGCCTGCTTTAATACTCTACCACTGGGACAAAAGGGGGGGAAAAAATGCAGGCATAGTACTGGCAGTCAGCCTGTTGGCGCCCCCTAGTGGCTGGACAACCGCTAAGCTCTTTGCACGCGCTGGTTTGTTAATGGCGGGGTTGCCATATTGTGCCTGAGGCGACAGTTTGTAGAGTGCTTAACCTGTGAAGGGCTAAAGCCCTAATTATGTATAACAATAGCGGAGGCATTGTAAACCCTAGTGGATTACTGCGGAGGTGTGATGCCTCAAGATTCCCTGGCAGGGAGCTTCTAACAATGGCGTGCATGCTGGGCCAACAAAGTGATTTGGACATCTGGTTCTAGAGAAGGATGAATTCTCTTACAGAGCAATTGCGCGGGCTCCCTTGAGCGTGGTGCTCAGCTGAGAACTTGGGATTGCGTCCTAAGATGCCCCAATCAGTGACCATCACGACCTTTTGCTTCCTTTCTCCAAGGAGAGATTTACTTGCTCTCCTGGGGATCATCCTTGGCATGCTTCCTGAAAAGGCTGTGACAGAAAACCTTCCTCAAAAGTCATCTTTATAAATGTCAACAAAAAAAAAAAAAAAAAGAAAGAAAAGAAAAGAAAGTAATGGAAACTTTTACGCAGCAGTAAAGTGTCTATAATTTTAATTGATGTGTATTTTCAGTAACAGCTATCTACTCAGTTTACTGGTCATCTAATCAAGATGCTCCGTTGATTTCCGAAGGAGAAATAGAACAGCAAATAAAGAAAACGTTCCATTATTAGGGGATACCAACAAAACTTTTCCTTGGGAAAAAATTCGATCTGGATTAGGCTGCTGCTCTAAACTTTCAGATTCTTAAAGATAAAAGAAAACATTGCATTGTCTCTATTTTAGATTGCAAATTGTTGAATTTAATTTAGACTTTCATTTTGGTTTAGTTTGATTTGGTTTGGCTTTGGTCTGGTTTGGCTTTGATTTTTTTGAGACAAAGTTACCCTACATAACCCTGGTTGGCCTGGACTTGCTATGTAAATGGGCTAGCCTGGAATTCACAGAAATCTGACAGACTCTGCCACACAAGTGCTGAGATTAAAGCAAGAGCCACCACACATGAACTTAAGTATTTTTTTCATGTTATTTTCTGACCTTTGAATACTGGGCATGCACAGGGTACACAGACGCATAGACAGACAAAACACCCGAACATACAAAATAAATTAAATTTAAAGAAAACCAAAAAGGAAATGGTGCCTAGAATTAATTTATATCAATCTTAATGTGCTGAGACTTAGAGATCATCCTCCCACTTCCCACTTATGTTTAGAGCTGTCCTTAATACATTTTATAGGAGCAATTTCTAAACATTCTTGTCATCATAAATCAGGTAAATTTGATGCTGTTTTATTTTAGAAATTTTCTACCCTTTTTAAATTGTAGTTCTTACAAAAGGATAAAATAGGATCTGTGTTGGGTTTTTTTTTTTATTTCAGTTTCTTGTTCATTTAGTTGAGATAGGAAAGAGGTTCGTTCCTCTTGGGAGCCGGAGAAAAATCACTTTCCAGCTTCTAAACTCAACCTTCTATGTAATTAGCAGTTCAAGAAAGGTTAAACATAAGATCAAACACAGTGAGACACTTGAAGTGGTGGCCGTGTCTACTTGAGGCAGCCATTCATCAAAATAAAGTTGCAGAAGTGAGCATATGTCTTCTGAACTAGATCGTCATAAATTTAAATTATGGTACAGATGCCCTGAATTTAAAAAAAAAAGGATTGGAAATTTTTATAATTAAAAACTTTTTAAAGGAGAGTAAACATTTTTGACCTAACTTTGACAGATTTCTCTAAATAGCAAGAGTATAAATCTATGTGGTCTTGGGATGTTTTCTGTTGCTGTTGTTTAATGTAATCTCTCATTTAATCATACATTTGTTGAGTACAGATAAACCCTGTGACTGATGGGGCTGTCGTACAGATCTCTTGAACTCACGTGACCTCATCACAAAACTGCCCAGCCTGCATGTGCCTTCAGCTGGTTATGCTGGAAGTGGCTGTGTCTGCATTTGGGACAGGAGATGTTGGTTGCATGGTCAACTCCTTTAGTGTTAACCAAACTCTCTGGCCACCATTGTTCATGACTTGATGTGTTTTCATGTGAGCAAATTCACACCAAACATGGTACCTTTTTTAGAACACCAGATGTTAAGCAACTAGGCATGGAAAGACAAATGTTACTATCTCTTGTTAGCTGCCAAACACATATCCACTAAACACATTTGCTGTTGGCATGCTGCAGCTGGGGACAGTGGACAATGCGGTAAGTGGAAGAGACAAGGCCTTCACTTGGTCTCAAACGGTCCTCCTCCATAAGCACGCTGCCTTCATCCCCCACAAAGGCTGCGGCATGACTCACCAAGAGCTGGGCTAGGCGACTCACCCTCCAATCCATTGCCCCATTATTTCTTTAGTGTCTGAGGAGCCCTGGGCCCCTCACCTTGGTAACAATGTGCTGCTTTCTCATGAAGAGCCCAGCGCTTTAGAAATGAAACAAGAGCATAAAATCGGGGCATGCAACACTCTCTGCAGTTCCTACGATGACTCTAAAACCCCCTTAGCTATGCTATTCTTGTCTTCACGTGAGCCAGAGAACTCGGCAGCCCATGACTGTAGGATTCCTACCTGCTCCTCCTAGCACCTCACACAAGACACATGCCTGAACCACGAAAGGATGAAGATGCATTTGGGGTTTTGTTGTTAGTACATCCTCGATCAGCCCGCGGCAGCTCAATCCCACCTCGCATCAGAGAACAGACTGTTTAAACAAACGTGATTTTTACCAGTAGCTGCCACAGCAAATCAATAGCCTGTTTCATAGCAGGAAGTTGTGCTGGTGAACACTGCATCTCCTTCTGTCAGTCATCCCGTTCATTACGTGTTGAGGCTGTTCCCCCCCGGTGTGGTGTCTCTTCCCAAGAATGGAGAATGTTAACGTCAAGTGTTGCGTGTTTAATATGTGTGTGCAGTGTTGTCAATTGCTTCGAGGTTGCATGAATTTATGGATCTCATAATCCTGCCTGGGATATACGATGCATGCTGAATGTAGGTACATCTGTAATCATCATCCCTGTTTACCTGTAGAGATGCTTAGGGATTACAAAGAAAGAGCTCCCAGACAAACAAATTAAAAAAAAAAAAAAACAATAACAACAACAAAAATACTCAGCAGTAGATGGGAAAGCTACAATCACCCAACAGTTTTTAAAGTAAATTGCACACCCATTCTTGATTATTTTCAGTGAAACTGGGTACACACTGCTGTACCTGGTCTCTTTTCTTCCTATGTAAACCCAAGAAGCATGCATTTATCCATAAGAGTGAAACTAATCCCAAGTGAATGCAAACACCACAATCAAATACAGTTAATTTCTTTTTTTCTAAAAGGAAACTATTTCTATGCTCCTACTTGCTGAACACACTCTTGCCTATTGATGTGTATGACCTTCTAGAGTTCCCTCCGATCATTTGCCCATGTGGAACGGAAGGAAGTTTTGAGATGGGATAATCACGGCTCTGTTCTTCACAGTCAGAAGCTGAGTTTCAAGGAGCGAGTGCGCATGGCTAGCCCGAGGGGCCAGAGCATTAAGAGCAGACAAGCCTCGGTAGGTGACAGGAGGTCCCCGAGCACTGACATCACTGCTGAGGGCAGCCCCACCAAAGTGCAGAAGAGCTGGAGCTTCAACGACCGAACCCGCTTCCGGCCCTCGCTACGCCTCAAGAGTTCACAGCCCAAGCCAGTGATAGACGGTAAGCCTGGTTTTCCTGACGGTGTAGGTCGGTAGGCTGTGGGGCGGCTGTGGAATAATTCATTCTCTGTGGTGGCATTGAAGGGAAGAGAAATTGTTTCTTTCTATTGCAAATGTATTCGTTGCCATGGGTGAATATCCAGAACATTAAGTTAGCTTTGAGAGGCAACTTTGACAGCTAAATTATCTCAGAGAAGGCAAGGAACTGGAAATATGGAACAAGGTTAGAATTTATCACGTGCAAGACCCTGGGTTCCATGCCTGGTACCACATTGTTTTAAGAGAAAGAAATGAACCATTTTGTTAATTCTTTCCCTCTTTTCTAGACTATATTTATTTCAAGAGCACTGCAGCCTCCTTGCTGGTGTAGGTGTTATGTGTGGCCAGCAGAGACTCAAAGTAGAAAGATGAGCAGGCCCCTTGTGAGCATCCTAGAATGAGAGTGGCACCTTCCTAGGCACGAGGCGCGAGGAAAACTCTCTTCTCTCTTCTCCCATGAACCAGCTACCACAGACACACAGCCGCTCCCCATGATGAAGGGCTCCCGTGCAAAGCTCTGAGCCTCCTCGTGATAAATAAGTCTCTCCCAAGAGGAATTAACCTATTTTATCATCTCCCGTGGCAGAAGGTTTCCTGCCAACATTTTATTGAGTGACACATAATTTTCATGTTTATGAAATCCTTTTTATTTTTTTTCATTCAAAAATTAACTCGGTTTTCCTTTTAAGTGTGTTCCCTTGGGATCCCTTAAGCTGGGCAAAGAACCAGAATCAAATAGCGCCTTCCATTAACGCATACAAACTGCAAAGGCCACCAAGACTTATACTCTCATTCCCTAGCATAACCTGTGTTTTCCCAGGCCCTCAAAGCTCGGGGGACACGACCAACAACCAGGGGTCATAGCTGCAGTGATCAAAGCTCCCTGCAGTGAACCCCTGGAACCTCTGGAACATCTGCCTGAAAGCTCCTCCCAGCTTCCTCAGAGGTCCTCAGAGACCTCCGTTCCCCTCTCAAGAGAGCAGCACAAGTCCTTGCTTCACGCTTCCTCACTTGCCACACTCTTAACTAGTGTCATGTTCTCCGGATAGTCTCCTCGAAGCTGACCCGATATGGCCCTACCTGGCAGAGATTCTGTCTCCAGTCTCAGTGGCAAGGACATGCTGATCCGGCCATGCTTGCTTTCACCTGTCGCTCTGCTAAGCTGGGAAATGCCTTGTCCTCCGGTGTGCTGCCCTCCTCATCAAGAATACTTGCAGCATCCTGAGTCACTGCTAGCACGGTTTTCAGTGTCCTCCAGTTCCCTTCCTCTGCTCCCTAGGAGGAAATTCACAGACAGCCTAAGGGCAGCTAAGTCTGCAGTGATTGGCAACTGGTAGAGGACGGTTATTGGACTTGAGATCGGTGCCAATAGGAGCAGATGCATCCTTTGTGTAAGGTAGTTTAGCAAATAAATACCAAAGCCGTAGCATATGCCAAACACTAGGCACATCCATCTACCATCTCCGTCTCTAGACTATAACGGATGAACGAAGCAGTACCAGATGCTGGAAATGATTCTGACCGATGTGCAAGGGCAATCCCAGGCCAGATGTCATGATGCATGCCTGTAATCTGAACACTTAGGAAGCCGAGACAGTATATCATGAGTTCAAGGACAGGCTGACCTACAGACCTACACAGACAGACCCACACCTATCATAATGTTTTTAGACATGTACATTTACATGTATGTTATATGCTGCGTACACAGATGTGTGTGTGTGTGAAAGTCTGAAAAACAAATGGGGCCACAAACACAGTTTCTTCATTTTCTTCACCTGTATTTCCCAGTACTTACTAGAGTGAACATTTGACACTTCTGTAGTAAGAAATCCAAGGAGGAGTTTTTAGTACATTAGAAAAAAAATTTATCCCTTCCACTTACTGTCTCTCCCTCCCTTCTAATCTAACAGTCCTTGACCTATTGGGTACCAAAATTCTTACTTCAAGATATCCTTACTGAGCAGTGTAAGAAGTGCCTGGCTCTGCTGTGGCCCAGCATTCACTCAGGGCAGAGATCCTCCAAGGATGCTCACAGCTGCAAAAGCAGCTTGTTCCTTGGGTTGTCATAAAAAAAAGTACCTCCCACTGGACTTTAAACAGCAAAAATTCACCGTCTCCAAGTCTGGGACTACAAGTCTCAGCCTAAGGTGTTGGCAAAGGTGGTTCCTGCTAAGGACATCTTTCTTCATGGTGGTTCTGTCTAAACATAGTCTTTTCTCTCTACCTGTCTGTGTCCAAAAATTTCTTCTTTGTATAGTACATAAATCATATTTGATTGGGTCCCACCTTAATAGCTTTATTTTAACTTAATCACTTCTTTAAATACCCAGTCTCCAAGTATCGTAGCATTTAGAGTTACTGGGTGTAAGGATTTCAACACATGAATTGGAAGAGACACAGTTCAGCACCTTGGCAGATCCTGTGTTTATGTAACAGGTTCTCTGGCAGGCTCAGAGGTGTCCATGTCTTCTGCCTTGACCCTGGGTTCACGCTGTACTAAATATATAATTAGTACACATTGCAATGGACCCTTATTCTGATAATGTGGGATTCAAAACCTTTCTTCGTCTCCTCGTCGTGAGGTCAGTATGGTTGGCTAAGCACATTTAATTATAAAATTTGTAGAAACTGGGTTTTGAACATTAAAAAAATGAATTCTAGTGGTACTGTTTGACCAGAAGGAAGGACAGTTTCAAAGACTTACTGGAATTGGCACGACATACCCTAGCATTTCTCTATCTCCAGACATATCTCAGAAGTCAGATACAAAAGAGAAAAAGGGGAGTTTTATTCTTCGCAGATTGGAAAGGTCTCATGTCCTACACTTTCTAGATCATTTCATACAAGTGCAATTCTGTTTGCTTAGAAAAGAATTACTTTCCCCTGGCTGAGCCCCATCTCAATTGATTCCGAACTCCCCAAGTGAAGACAGAACTGATTGCTGCCCTGTTGAAGTAGCTCTGAGGACTCCTCACTGGCAGGAGATGGGAGCTCCTAACTCCTCATTTAATCCAATAGCCAAGAGTCTTTACTTATGATATAGCTTGAAATTGGGTCTTGGAAATTTTTGAAGTACATTTTTCATAGAAAAAAATAAGGTAGCTATCAAGTAAATGTGGCCTTCAATTTTATA